AAGCCAAACAAACCCAAACGAACATGGCGCTAATCGTGCGCACGTCCCGTGGCTGTGGGAAGTTCCTATGCATGCAGCCATATGGGAGGAACTCCCGTGGTCGTGGGAAATTCCCGTGCATGCAGCCATGCGGTGAGGAACTCCCACCTACGAGAGATTGTGCGGTTGTGGCTTGACTGATGAGGAATCCCATGTGCGGTTGTAACAGTTTGCAGTGTGTTTGTGAAATCAGCACGGAGGATCACTCAGTACCGATGACCGACCGACCGATATCGGCTGGAATAACTTTAGGGTGCTATACTCCTAAGGATGCAATAAGATGGATGCACACCCGAGCATGCTGCCGCGTACATTCGGTTGCTTCTTCGATCAGGCCTAGAGAGTTTACACATTAGACTCAGATAACTAAGCTGATGCGGTTATTCATTTCAGTTCAGCTAGGTTGTATTTTTCTAGTATTTTTAGAGCACCTTTGGATTTCTGGAGTTTTTGTTGTTTCCTACGTTTTTTTGTCATACGAAATTCATCTTACAAGATTTCTATGAAATTTCTGAGTTTCCAAGGGGTTTTAAACACTTTAGCTGAGAAAAGATGTCAATCTTGATCCTGAAGCGAACCTCTCCATTTCCCCTTTTGGATTTCAATGTTCAAACTTGAAACCTTGTGGTGGACTGGTGGTCCAGAAAACCGACTGCTAGCTCCTCGCCTCTGGCATACCGACCGGTGGAGCAGCGGTGCCCCAGAGCCCAGAGAGTCAGGCGCAGCAGCACTGCAGCAGGTGAACCGATTGAGGCCTTTGTTTACTTGTTCTAGAGTTTATCACATCAAATATTTGTATATATGCATGTAGTATTAAATATAGATAAAAAATAACTAATTGTACAGATTACGACTAATTTGTGAGACGGATTTTTTAAGCCTAATTAGTCCATGATTTGACAATGTGGTGCTACAGTAAATATGTGCTAATGACGGATTAATTAAGCTTACTAAATTCATCTCGTGGATTACTGTGTAATTTGTTTTATTATTACCATTCAAATACTTCCATGTGACATCCCAATGTGATATATCTAAACTTTACTCACTGGATTTAAACACGTGCATGTAATATATATACTTGTCACTGGCTCACTGCAACTGCTGACGAAGTTGGGGAGGCTTGGGAAGCTCCAGGCATTTCATTTGTTCCCTTAGTTTGTCTGTGCCAGGTAGCCGGATATTGTGCGTTCTGTTGTGTATCCCTGCTGCCTTTGATGCTCTGATGATGCTTGATGCACTTCAGTCCAACCGGCACCCTGTCCTTCGCCTGCCGCGGCTTAAGAATTGTTGTTGCTTGCCCATTTCGGCCAGGATATTGCTTTGCTGCACGAAATGGACATCCCAGCTAACGCGATCAGAGCAACCAGTGCCAACGTGTAAAAGCAGTTCTTTCCCGGCTTGTTGTTCCGAACTTAAGGAAATGTCAATCCCAATTCCCAAAGTCTGGTTTAAAAGCAGTTCTTTCTCCCTTGTGAGATGGCCAAACTGTTACATTTGCATTTCACAAGCCGCCCCTCTCTTTCTTCAGTTCTGATGGAGTTTCAGCTGTCTCGAAATTCAGAGTTGAAGCTGGAGGCACTTGTCGGAAGCTAGAAGTACTACCCGAGCCAGCACTCTCCATGGTTGATGCAGACGTACCTGCCGAATTTTTTACATTTTGACCTTTTTTTTTTAAAGTTTCTCACAAATAAACCCTGACGGAAAGAATTTAGAAAATGGATCCTTAGCTCGGCGCCATAGCGTCTCTGACGCCGAGCTGCTGGGCACGGTGAAAACGCCTGCCAGGGGGCTCGGCGCCGGTCACTCTAGCTCCGAACCTCCTACCATTTAAAAGTGCATGCAGTGCAGTGGCGTAGACTGACACAGCGCATTCAATTGGACTTAAAGAGTCACATCTGAGTAGTACATTCAATGGGGACCGTGCAGCGCATGCAGGAGCTGCACTTCAACATAGGGTCTGTTTAGTTTCTAAAAATTTTGCGCAGTATCCATCACATCGAATCTTGCGGCACATGCATGGAGTACTAAATGTAGACGAAAAAAAACTAATTGCACAATTGGATAAGAAATCGCGAGACGAAACTTTCGAACCTAATTAGTCCATAATTAGACACTAATTACCAAATACAAACGAACCCAAAAATTTTTGCATCTAAACGCGCCCATATTCAGTTTCACCCACCCCAAGCAAGGACAGAAACGACAGGCCTAGTGCTATATTTGCACAATGTTAAAAGATGACACATACATTGTACAGTGAGATTAATAAAGTCACTCACTTGCTGTTCACTGTCCGCAACTGCTGCCTTTCAGCATCCATTGACCTTAAGGCCTCACTAGCCTGCTGACGAGCACGTTCCAGTTCCTGCTGTGCTGCTAATTGCAGAGAAGCAGCCTGCTCAGCCTTCTGATTAACTTCATTAAACCGAGCTTCCAGGTCATCTTTTTCCTGTAAATGTGTAGGAAAAAACACAAAAGATCAACTTCTTGTTTCAATAATTCAGTATATTCACGAAACATGAGAAACAGGCAGCAAAGAGTCGATTACACCACAACAATCGTTGAATCAAATTGTACTAGTTTATTCTCAAACTAATGTGCACATAGGACAGCTGAAAAATTCCATATTTAGGGAGAGACTGAGGCCGTGAAGTAAAAGATCTACTATTTTCAAGCTAAAGTGAAGATAGGACAGATCAAAAATTGGTTACTTCTTACCTTTTGTATATCTTGTATACGTTGTTTTGCACGCTTGTGAAGCCTCAGAAGCTTGGTATCCAGCTCAACATATTTGTCGTCGCGTTCTTTTAGTTCCTTTTCCATTTTGTGTTCAGCTACATGCATGGAACTAATGATGAATTAGACTCTGAAACCAAAAAAAAGGGGGGCAGCAAGGACTAGGTTGTATTACAGATTATAATGACATATGTCATGACCTCATAAATCTATTCCAGCTTTCAATTTTAGTTCTTATTATCTACTAAATATTTTTCTCTATATTTTATGTTGAAACTCTAGTGAGTTGCCGTTGCTTTTATTCAAAAATCTCATTTCTATTTTGTTAAATAAGTATATTATAGGTCCTAAAATGCACTTTAGTTACTCAATAATATACAACCTGTTCGGCTATGGCTGAAACGATCGTTTACGACCAAGCGAACAGGGCGATAGACAACCATTTGGGGGCTCTAGATATTAAATTTCTTCTATCGAATAACTTTGTGTGTATTAGTAATTTCTCCTTGGCACCTCTGCTGTTTGTGCCATGTTTGCTTTCCATTTTGCTTTTAGAAATCACGGATTCTGTTGTTTCCTTAACTTTCAATCACATCCGGTCTTATTTTTAGTAAGAGCATAGGAATAAGACTGAAATCACTAAGATACGAGCTTAAGACTGACCCTTGATGAAGTCCAATTTAAAACATGGAGAATAGATCATATTAGCATATTTAATTTCTCAGTGATACAACTATCTTAACCACCTACTTTTGATGTAATCTACCCGTACAAGAAACAAATATACACAAATAAATAGGGGCTAGCTGATGTAACTCTTCGAGTAATTGAATGCGCTGCACTATCTGCTCCTCTGCATGCGCTGCACTGTCCCCATTGAATATATTACTCTGATATGACTCTTCAAGTCCAATTGAATGCGCTATGTCACTCTACGTCACTGCATGCACTTTTAAAAGTGAGCATATATTACTCGCAACTGCAATGCATGCACTTTTAAATGGCAGGAGGCTCGACGCCAGAGTGAGCGGCGCCGAGCCCCCTGGCAAGCATTTTCACCGTGCCCAGCAACTCGGCGCCAGAGATGTTGGCGCCTAGCTCAGTGCCAGCATCAATGGCGCCGAGCTAAGGGTCTATTTTTTTTAATTCTTTCGTTAGGGTCTGTTTGTGAGAAACTTAAAAAAAAAGACCAAAATTTAAAAAATTCGGACGTACCTGCTTTCTTGTTGCAACAAATCGGCTCGCGCGCTCCCAAGTACCCTGCCACAATCTCTGTCAACAGAATCGCGCATTCATTTCCTGAGGAGTGCTTTCATTGCACCTGACCAATGGCTCGTGTTTAATTTCTTCATGCAGGGATCCGCTGTTACGATGCTCTCGGGTCAGGTCGCAGATGGGCTGATGACCTCCTCGCATGCGAGATGGTATAAACACAGGCGGATACAACAGAGGGGCTCGGCCCCTTACCCATATCGGAGCAGTGGAACCTGAAGCCTCTATGAATTTTTAGGCAAAGTTCTATAGTTTAGGTGGAGCTAAGACTTAAGATCGAGCAGCGGTCGGAGGTATGTGCTGTTCAGCCCCCTAAATTTTTTTTTCTAGATCCGCCGCTAGGTATAAACTATAAACAACACCAAAACTCTACACTTTTGCAGACAAAACCAAACACGACTTTGCCACGCCCTCCCTAGAGCGCTCATTCCGAATTAGGCAAGTATATATCCAGCAGCTGTCAACGTGGTCAGAACATTTAAAGCCATGGGGCCTGTTCGCTTGAACTTATCAGCCGGCTTATCAGTTAGAATCTACAGTATTTTTCTCAGCCGAGCAAGCTTTCGTGAGGTGTGTGTAAGAAATCAGTGAAGTTATTTGGACAGGTCTTTCTGGCTACTATGGCATGTTTGATTCTCCGACTATCTCCTAACCAGGTTTTTTGGAGCCAACTTGAGCCTCTTTGGTTGGTTGAACAAGCCTCCTAACCAGGCCTCAGCAAGCCACATAGGGGGTCTTAGCCAGGCTCCAGAAAAACGTAGAAGTTGGCATTTTTGTGGAACCAGGCTTTGGCCAGCCTCCCACTGAGTCGCCTCATCTCCCTTCGGTGAGATCCGCCGGTGCTCCTCCTTCACCGGTGTTCCTCTCGCCGATGCTCCACCTGTCGGTGCTCCTGATGCCGGTGCTCCTCCCCATGGAGCTTGCGCGCGTGCCGCCTCCCCAAGAACCGCATGCGACTGTGGCTCGGCACCTTTGACACCACCGAGGACGCAGCGCTCGCCTACGACAAGGCCGCCTTCCGCCTACGTGGCGGCATGGCACGCCTCAACTTCTCGTCCCTCCGCCACGACGGCTCTCACCTCACCGGCCCGCTCCACGCTTCCGTGGACGCCAAGCTCACCGCCATCTGCCAGTCACTAGCGGGGTCCAAGAACGGCTCCTCCGTCGATGAGTCGGCCGCGTCCCCGCCGGACTCCCCCAAGTGCTCGGTGTTGATGAAGGGGGAGGAGGAGTCATGGAGCTCGCGCGCGCGTCTTGGGAGCATGTGATGTCGGCCGGAGACGGGCGGTGTGCTGTGAGAGGTGTCGCTCACCAGGTGTTCGATGAATTGCCTCAAAGGTGGTGAAGTTACCTAAAAGGTGACTTTATCCGAGCCAAATCAACCAACCGAGCAAACTAGTTGCTAGTCAGGCTTAGATAGTGTAGGGAACCAAACAAGTTCATTTTGGCTCGCTAGAGGCAGACTTGGGTTGCCCAAGCTTAGATTCTAGATAGGCTAGAAATAAGCAGGGAACCAAACACACCCATCTAAACTCTGGCTATGTAATATTTACTTTCATTACAAATCTTATTATAATTGGGATGTGCGCAACTACCACAATCATTCATTCGATCCAAGGTTGTTAAAAGGATGTGACATTAGGTATCCTCCGAAGATGTCCGACATACTACCAGATTTAGCTTGTTTCAAGTGTGCCTAGTGCTAAATTGTGACAAACGCTTGTTGGTGATCTCAGATCCTAGACTAAAGTGACAGTCCTACTTAGCAAATTACAGGGTTTTTGGAACAAATATTAAGAGCCTAGAAATACAAGAAATATTAAAAGTAACACATGTTATGGCCCTGTTCGGCTTACCCCATATTCGACTTGTTCGGCTTCTTTTCTTTATCATGATTGTATTTGATACATTTGATGAATTGTTTTTCTCTCACAATTATTCATGGATAAAGGGAAGGTTTGATTGCATATGGAAAGCAAGGTTAATGAGTTTTGGGGACCAAGTTTCGCGTCCTCCACTAGGCCATAGAAGCTTTGGTTCCAGGGCGGGTCCAAGTACTACACGTTTTAACTAATTGATCAAATAGTCAAGTAATCGCCACGACTTCACGATACGATAAAAATTCTAGGCAAGTCTATTACCACCTAAAAAATACTGAACGGTTTTGTCCACGCCGGGACTTTTGGTGCGCGCTCCCCGGTCCGATGACCCATCAAGAAGATCCATTAGAGAACGATATGAAGAAGTTCAAACGCCTTCAGATCCGATAATAATCGACAAACAGATTGGGTTTTGTTTGTTGCGTTTAGCCATTGCTACCCTCTTGAGCCGCGACTAGACCATCCGCCTACTTGATTTAGAACCCCAACTTTGTGAGTTCAGATTGACCTCCATATTTGCAATTGAGTTGTTGGACAAGCTTGCCTCATTGCTAGCAGCGTTACCCTAGGCCCATCGCTGGCGCCGCTGAAGGTGGTGTATCGGCTGCTGGGCACAGGCATCCTTGGATGGTTGTAGTCGGGCAGGAGGTCCTCCATCCCTAAATCGAGGCACCTTCTCTCGGATCGGATTCAGGAGGATATCGGTCGGTGCCCCCACGGCTCGGGTGTGTGGGGGCTTGTTGAGTTTTTGGTTGCAGAGGATCAAGGGGCTCACGGGGAGAAGGAGAGTAAATTCGAGGTGGTTTATGCAAATGATCATGACTGGGGGACATTTCTTTTTCGGACAAAACAGTTTGCGCGTTATCGGGGTCTTTTTGGCAAAAGTGGTGGGGATTGAAGGAAAGCTCATATTTCTTCTTACTGCTTCTCTTTCCGTCCTCTCAGGCCACACGTCTCTAGCATGCTTTAGCCTAGGACCAGCACAGATCCGCCCACCTTGCTTTTGGCTAACCCCACGGGAGGCACCCCATGGGCCTTGTTGTTGCGGCACATACACACCACGTCCTTTTTGGCTTGGTAAGAACTTGTATCGGCTCCATCGCCTCAGAATTACAACCGGTTGCACGCACACGACATATTATTTTTGCACAAGGTCAATCATGATGGGCCCCCCCAACACTTGCCAGTTATATGATGCGGTGCCCAGGCTTGACTGCGTTTGTTGTGAGGAAGTTTGTTTTTTATTTCCTTTAGATTATAGGAACTTCAAAAATGCGCCAAAAATTGTACAAAACTCATAAAAATTTCAAATAAATTTTGTTTGCTTTATAAAATTGTGCTCTATCCATATATTCTATGTTTAGTGTTAGGTTGTCTTTTAGGATGCATGTGTAATTAAATTGTCCTCACACGTGTCATGTGCATATACCGTAAGCGGAGCCGAAGTTCAAGGAGGATATCAAGGAGTAAGATGAAGAGGTTCTCGTCGATGGTGTTCCTGAATCCCACGCTGACTTTTCTGTTGACCATTACTATGATCAAATGTGTCGTCTTATGCGTGTACAAAAATTCATGATTCCGGTGCAACGCACGAGCATATATCTAGTAATAAGACAATGCCGAAAATAATCAACACTCTAAAACCCTTGAATGTCACGTTGTCTCACTACACCGCTTTGTATCATCGAGCAATTTAATCAGCCCACACAAGTGCAATCACACCCAAGTAACACAATACTATTAGATTGCATCTCTATATATCAAAGCAGGAGACTTTGACCGCTAACTGGGCTATCCACGATAGCAAATTCATTTTAGGCCATTTGATGCCGGCTTCAACGTCCATGATCCCTTCTTGATCCTGTAGACCATAAAATATCACCTTCACTCCCCTCGTTTCTCTCTCCTTCCCTCAAGAAGCAACAACGGGCGCGAGGCGACGGTTCAGATTGGTTTTTATCTCCATATTTGCAATTGAGTTGCTTGTTCTACTTATTCTTACTTGTTCCTCGTTGCTTGGTCCTAGTGGTTTGCACAAGATCGCTGACACGGAGGCCCCTCCCCCCCCCCCCAACCCCCTTCTGCGGGTGGCCCCTAGCAGATGATGTCGCGGCTGGTGGCCACCGGCCGCCGCCCCCTCACAACAATTCAGGTCCCCAGACGGCCATACCAAAGAACGGGCGGCTCACATCTATCCTGGATCCGCCTGCGATAAGATAAAAATTCTAGCCAAGTTTACTCCCCTCTCTTTCTCTCTCTCCCTCTTCCTCTCTCCATAGTTGGCCATGCAGCCCGAGCCCGTCGGCCCGGCCCGAGGCCCGTTTTTTTTTTCGGTGGCCCAAGCACGGCCGCAGCTCAGCAGGCGGGAGGCTAGCGGTCTGGCCGGCTGGGCCCGGAGGAGAGGATGCCATGCACGGCCTTACCCAGACGCTTGGCACGTTGGCATGGCATGGCATGGCTCTCTTCTGATCGAGCCGGCCGCTTAGCGGCCCGGCAACACACTGCTAAGAGCACCAGTGTGCCACCACCATGGCCCACGTGCGCAGCAGCCCCCCCCGCCCCCGCGGATGCGGCCACGCCCGAAGCCCCGAACCCTATCCTCGCCAGTCACCTCCCCATGCGGCCGCCTCCTCCTCGGCTCCTCGCCTATCAAGGAGTAAGGCCTCCCCGTGGCCACCTCCTCCTCCCTCCCCTCCTCCTCTCCCCTCCCTCGGTGGCCTCCCTCTCCCTCCAACCACGCCGGCGACCTCCTCGCTCCCACCATGGCGGCGCCCTCCTCCCTCTCCCTCCAACCATGGCCATAAAATGGCACGCGCCCGTCTCCCTCCTTCCAACCACGGCGGCGGTGCGGCCAGGAGCAGACGGCGCATCCACCGAGCTCGCAGCCTCGATGAGATCCGGATTCGGCGGCTTCGCGAGATCCGGCGCGAGGAGGCGGAGGATCCAGGGTGGTGGCGTCCCCGGCGGCGGATCGAGGGCGGGCGCGCTCACCGGTGGCGGATCTAGGGTTCAAGTGCGTGCGCCACACAATCCGTCTTCCTCTGCTGCTGCGGCGTCCCCACGCAGCCCCACCTCCGTGCGCCTCCTCGCCGACAGTGGCGCCGCCTCCCGTGGCGCCCCTCCTCCTCCTCTCCCCTTCCCTCTCGTGGGCCTCGGCGCGCCCCGTCTCTCACCCACGCCCATGAGAATTGTCGTGCCTCGTGGGCTGGCCCGACACGGAAATCGGCCCATAGGGCTAGTGCCTGGGCCGGAGGCATGGCCCGTGGGCCGGTGAGGCACGGCCCGGGAGGCACGGCGTGCCTTGCCGGCTCGTTGGCTATCGGGCCATGCTGGCACGGGCCCATGCCGTGCTGTGCCGGGCCGGCCCGTTGGCCATCTATACCTCTCTCCCTCCCTCTCCCTCTCTCGATGTGTCATATGCACTGACGCAGATTCCGTTTCACCGTAGATCTGATGTTCTCTCTTCCTCTCTCTCTCTCTCTCTCTCTCTCTCTCTCTCTTCTGATGTGGCATGCTGCAAATTTTTGTTGGTCTTTAAGTCCTGATCTACTCGGTTCGGCTGGATCTGAGAGTAGGCAGCTATTATGACATACATCTGAGCACATGAGCATGTCAGTGATATTTGTTTGACACCATATGCACTACATTGGTGATGTTTTTTGGTTTATTGTTTGCATTTCGTTCATGTGCAGTGATGAGTATGATTTCCTATTGTTGTTACGTTTCAATTTGTGGGAATGAGCTTGTGCTGTGATGATTGCACCATAAATTAGGTTTACTGTTTCAAGTAGTGAACATGGTCTGCCTTTCCACAGATTGCATCTCTTTGTTTGTTTAGATACCTGAGGCAATGCTCGTGACCTATTATCATTCTTTGTCTTACATGTTTTTACTATGTTGACAACTTTGGCGATGACCGTGGCCAGTGTTGATACTATTTTTGCCATCTCTTTCTGCCTGTCCCATGATAGCTGAGGCAATGGTCAATTGGTTGCTTCTATTTTCTTGCATTCGTTTCTCCTTGTTCTGTTTTGTGTAATTTGGACGCACCGATGAGAGCTACTGCTGATTGCCTATTTAGTCACCTACTATGCGGCTGGAATGAGCTCTTAGTTATGAGATCTGAGCTTGTATTGTCATTGCCAGTGATGGTTCTTTCCTTTGCCTGTTCATTATCTATCATCATTGTCGGTGACGTCAGATTATATACTTTTGCTTCTGAGCACAGGCCTTATTCCCAAGGATTACATTGCCATACACTTTGGTTGTGTGCAATCAATTTTGGTTCTCATGTTTCTTTGAGTTTTTGGGTATGGTCCACTTAATGTTTCCGATGACATTTTGGGCCCCATCGACGAAAAGCTTGCTGCTTTGCCGCTTGTGAAGAA